AGAGAGGCCGGAGAGTCCAGAAAGAGTGAAGACTTGCTGGGGGCTGGGAGGACTGCCATTCTCCCGGCCCCCCAGCACCCCTGCCTGCCATATGCCTGGTAAATCTAAATAAAAGACCTGCAGAAAGCCACTGAGGACTCTGACTCCTCCTTTACCTGGTCTGCTGGATCATAGAAAACCTGCACTGTGCCCTGTCCAGCCCCTACAGGAGATACACACATACACCCCAGAAATCATAGTTCCTGCCCTTAAGATATTTATACTTGGAAGTCTTAAATTATTACATGTAAAAAATAAAATAAAAACACAGATTAGTTAGCTAGCAACCACTGGAACTTGACTAAAAGCACCAAGGGAACATAAAGGAGAGACATTAATGTGCTCTAAAATCAGCAGAAGGAGTTATTGTGAAGAAGGCAGGACCTGAACTGGGCCTTGAAGCACAGACAGGATGGAATGAATAAGCAGGAAAACAGGCATAAAGGCAGAAGAAAAATGATGCTAATGCTTCTCGCACCCCGTGGTAGAGGCCAAAGAAGGTATGACTCGCGCAGTTATTACAGACCGTAAGGACCAGGCTAATATTACTTGAGAAGAAACACTGCCTCAAGATAGTGACAGGTGGTCCTATTGTTTGGGAATTAATTTGAGTCTTAATGTTGTGTGCCTGCAACAGGTGTGCTGAGGATACTTTAATTGAGTGATTAAAAAAGCTCATGGGGAGAAGCTGAGCTGCTGGGTGATCTGGTTAAAAAAATGACTAAGAAGTTTAAGGCGCTACTTAGGTTTTAGGAGTTTGGGGAATTCGTTTTGGAATGTTTTGCTACTATTTGACTTATTTATTTAGTCTGATTATGCTCCACCTTGTAAAATCCTGTGCTTTGAAGACTTAGACTTTAGAAAATGTTGGGTGTGGAGCCCGTTTGTGTCACGTTGAATGTTTCTGAGTCCAATCTGTAAGAGAGGAGAAAAAGTTGCTCTCAGTGATTGTGAGGATGAAATGAAAAATATATTCAAAATATACAGTGGGCATCCCTGGTGGTGCAAGGGGTTAAGTCTCAACACTATGAAGCTATCCACAACTATTATAGCATAAGTTCAATTCCCGGCCAGGGAGGTGACCCACATGGTGCAGCAGACCTCTCCTGACTTGCCTGCTGCAGTGTATTTCAGTCAATCTGCCTGTTCCCCTCAGCAGTGTATTTCAGTCAATCTGTCTGTTCTGCTGTTCTGTTCTCCTCTCTGTCTCTGGTGAATCCTGTCATCCCTCCCTCCCGGCGCCTCTAGCCTATACCCCAGTTCTTGTATGCATAAATAAATAAATCTTTTTTAAAAAAAGACAAGGGCCTCCCTGGTGGCACAAGGGGTTAAGCACCGCACTATGAAGCAATCCGCATCCTCTGCAGCATGAGTTCGATCCCTGGCTGGCCAGGGAGCAACCACATGGCTCAGCAGACCTCTCCTGACTTGCCCGCTGCTCCCCTCAGCAGTGTACTTTGGCCAATCTGCGTGTTCTGTTCTTCACTCTGTCTCTGGTAAATCCTCTCACCACCCCCCCACATCTTTGGCCTGTACCCCAGCTCTCGTATGCATAAATAAATAAATCTTTAAAAAACTAAAAAAGACAACAAAATATACAGTAAGTCTCCAGGCATTTGTTGTCCTCTTCACTTCTCTCCCTATTGGCATATATATTCCTGATAGACAATATATATTGCCATATATATTTCAAGAAGACCAAATATCTTATCCTTCAATCTTGGAAACTTGTTTGGAGTAAAAAGGGATCATTTCTGAAAGTTACACTGGGCACAACTGTCAATTGAGACTGACTCATGTATTTCTTTATGAAAAGAGAAAATGGAAATGAGAATAAATTAATGATAATCTAAAGGAAATAAGAAGCTTGGATGATAAGAGGTGCTCCGTGAGTTTCTCTACATATATCTAGAAGTCAAGAAGTCACAATCTCATTACAGTTTGCCTGACAATTGTCACTAAAAGTTCAATGCACACCATATTAAATGGCACTTGTCACTCCTGTTCCCTCATATATTCATTCTTCTCAGTCTTCTTGGCTGATTCAGTCTGACTATTCATGGGAATTAGGGAACCAGTAATTGGGGCCTAAAAGGGCCAGGCTGGTGTTTATCTAGATTTCAGAGTGATCACATTTGGGGAATACTAATTTTTTTTAAAGATTTATTTTTTTATACAAGAATTGGGGTGTAGGCCAGATGTGTGGGAGGGTGAGAGGAATCACCAAGACAGAGTGGGGAGCAGAACAAGCAGAAGACTAAATACACTGCTGATGGGAGCAATAGAGTAAACAGGAGAGGTCTGAGGCGCCATGTGGGATTCTTGCCGGCCGGCCGGAATCGAACCCACGCTGCAGTGGCTGCGACAGCTTCACAGTGGGGCATTCAATCACCTGTGCCACCAGGGAGGCCCATTGGGGAACACTATTGAAGAAAGCTCATGTGATTGCCTTTGCTGAGAGAGGTTTTCCAGGGGCCACTGTAGCACAGTGTAGTATAGTGACCAGTAGCAGTTTGACCTGTCACTAGAGACTTTTTGATAGTACATCACTATTTTATTTTAATTTTGTTCTTTGAATTTCTTCACAGAGATATAGTGAAGTTGACATTGGAATGTTGCTGTTCTCTTTTATAGATGACCTGAGTCTCTCTCTGCATGCCTTAATATTTGGTAGCATCCAATACTGTGTTTATAAAGTTACCACATGAACTGATTTTATACTTGGCAAACTAAATGGAGATTCTCAGTCTAAGATGCTTCAGTCCTGACACATTAATTAACACATGGCTGAGTCTGACTGGACAACCTAGGGCTGTGAGTCAACAAAGGTTGAGGTCTCCTCTAATCTTGTCTTCCTGTAGGAATTGTTTGTAACAGGGCTTCCCCTACAGTGGGTGGACTTCTATTTGTATGTTCCTAGGACTTAAGGTCTGATCTCAGTGATGCTGGGGAGCTCTTTCACTTCGGTGATTCTATAGATCCTGTCCTGGCTTCGTTAAGCTGACAGTCTCCTAAAGTGTCTCTGAATATTTATCACAGAATGTGACATAGTGGAGAGTATCTTAATATTTTCATGGTGAATGTAAGACTATTGCTCTCTTCTCTTGATTGAATTTATGCATGTTTTTTCTGCTATGTGTTTTAGGTATTTTGGTATATATTACCAAAATAATAGGATTCTATTTTTCACTTTTGCATAGGGTCCCTCTGGAGCAGCACATCATTTAAAAAGTCCAAGGAAGTTGTGGAAGCTGATCACCTAAGTCTGAGAGTTTACCAATCACTGATCTCCCAGAATGCCAGTCACCTGTATTTATAAGTGGGCTGAAAGCATGCCCCTAAAATATAGTTGGTCTGCTACAATACCTGGATATTATGTTGGTGATATCTAAACTTCATGGGATCTGTTTGCAAATTGATACCCTTCACTTGGGTGTCTAACAGCTATCCTAACCTTTTAAAATTTAAAATAGAACTCACTCCATACCCACAACTTTGTCCTCCTTCTGTTCCTCACCAAATGGTCAAAACCCCAATAATTTTATGTATTTGAAATCTGGCAACATAAATTTTCACTGCAACTGTAGTTCAGAGCTTCATTTTTTTCTGGATTATACCAATAGCCTTATGATCTTCCTTACCCTCCTACTTTGTATCTACACTTATTTTTCCATAGTAAGTAGGAATAAGCTATGTAGTCTTAATTATGGATTTCAAAAACCCTTTGCAATCTGGCCCCTATTGATCTCTCTGATTTTATCTCCTGCTACTCTTACCAACTACCCTGGCTTTCCTTACATGTGATAAACTTGGTCCAGTCTCAGGGACTTTGCATTATCTGTTCTCTTGGCTAGGAAGCCTCAGGCTTCCAGACAGTTCAAATGTCTCTAGCTTAGACAGGCCGGCCTTTACTGTTCTTGCTAACCTCTGCCCAACATTATCTTTATTTTCTTCTTAATAGCCAATTAGTCAATAATCAATATGCTATTGATATAGTCATATGTTTATTGATGATCTCTATTAACACGATTATAAGCTCAATAGGGACAGGGCTATGCTGTCTCTAGTGCTAAAAATGATAGGCAATGAAGTTGAACACCAAAGTAGCCTTTAAAACCAGTTATAGAGTGAGTATCAGGTACTCTGACTGTTTTGGCTTGGAAGTCAAGACACAGAATCCTCTAGGAAAGGTGAAAGCATTCAGGAGATGAAATGATAGCTTAAAACAAAAGGAGAACCTTTTTGGAGGCTTCATTCATTTAAAGGAAGAGGCAAGATCTGTCAGGTTGGCAATTGCATCTCAGAAAATAACAGCCTGGAGTCAGAGGAGGCAACTTGGAGAAGGAAAAAGCACAATAATGTCAACAGAAGAAGAGATCCGAACATTGGTTCAAAGGGCAAGAGATTGAACCTATTATGAAATAATTGTCAATTTACATTTCCCCAGGCAACAAATTCTCAAATTTCTTGTAATATATACCATGACTGTGTAGGCAGCTTACCTTGGTTGACTTCTTTTATTTTCCTTTAGCCACCCACTTTGCATTAAAAAATTCCTGTCACATAATTTTTCCCCAACATGCAATTTTAATATAATATTGAGTGGAGACTCATACCACAAAAATATAATGAAAACAATATAAAATAAAGAATCATAAGGTCTATTTTCAGTTTTTATGAATGTTCACAGAGAATTATAGTTTAGTTTTGCTTTCCCATCTCTTAGATCTAGGAAACCCAGCTTCCAGACTAAGCTTTTCCCTCCAGATGCTTGTCTATATGGATTAATTACATTAAGAAAGTTTCTTTCAACTTTAACTTTCATTACCTGTAAAGTGAGGGAGTAATAACAGAATACTTCTTTCAGTTTGTCATATGAATGTGTTTAATTACCTTATAACTTATACAGAGCACATTTAAAGAAAGGGATGACTACAAAAATATTTAATACTACTTGCAATTTCCAGTCGTTAAAGTTCACATTGATGGAGATACTGTGCGTGTTTGAATTGAAATACAGACTCACTTGAGTGTGGCTCACATTTGTTGAGTGAATGAGAGAGGGGGAGAGAGAGAGAGAGAGAGAGAGAGAGAGAGAGAGAGAGAGAGAGAGAGAGAAAGAGAGAATATGCATTACAAAAATATGTGTGTTTTATGATGAAAAGAGCTTTTAAAAATGACTTAGTAGTATTCTGCAGGCTGACTTCCATTTCCTGGTGCCTCTGGCAAATAGGGGAAAGTGCATTCTTCTACTCAAACATTCTTGGAATAAAATGTCCCTAGAGATCTAGCTTCCTGCTTCATCATGTACAGAACCTGTTTTACCTACTAATCTCTACCTCACAGAACTGTTGAGAGACCTAGCTAATAAAAAATGATCATAAAGCACTTGGCAATATCACAACAACCATAAAAAGGATACATGTAAATGTGGCAAGTCTTGTCTTACTGGTATGCAGATGTAGTCTTTGTGCATGAAATGTATGACTCAAATGTTAAGAATTCATCCCCCATCCCTTTCACAAACTAGAAGTAGTTTTGCCAACTGGCTTGCTACAGTAAGTTGTTTCTCACCCAATATTTGGGCACTTAATTTATAACCTTCCTTATAATTCAGTTATAGATCTCCTCTTGAATTCATGCATCTATTTCTTAGGAATAGGACCTGCTTATTTAAAGGGGAAGTACAAGATGTTTGTGTTGAAAAATCAAAGAAGAAAATAAATGGGTTGTGTGGTGATCAATGGCCTTATTTAGGTCATCACAGAATAGGAATGAGTAGCACCTATTTGATGCTTTCTTAAGTCTCCACAGTGAGAACACTGTAGAATTTCTGTACAACTATGTACAGAACTATGTTCTGCACATGCTAATGTCATATGTGATCAATTTCTTGATCATTCTAAGGATATTCTGCAAGGAATTACACCTTTTGACTTAGCATTTGAATGAGTTCTTTTTGCTGGCATGTAGAATTTTTCTTTTTCTTCCTCAAGTCAATCAGATATAAGCAAGTAATCTTTGCCCAGCTATTTTCTTGTATTTTTTGGAAAATAGAACTTGGTACATAGCAATTTGTTTTAATCATTTCAGAGTTGCTTATAGGGGTTATTGATGTTACTACTTTAATAACATCACATTTAGATGCTCTTATGTGTTTCCTTACAGTAAATTTTAATGTCATTGCTCATTGGATATGATTACTCATTGTCCTGAGAGTATTTAATGGGTGTGAGCAGAGTTGTCAAACAATGAATATTGTTTTTTTTTTTGATAGAGGCATGCTTTATTTATATACATGCACTGGGTACAGTTGAGAGTAGTACACTGCTGAGAGGTCTGCGCGCCATGTGGGTGATGAGCAGAGCTTTGCTGCGCCAAACAATGAATATGTTTTTTACTTATGTGGAGTATCTGGTGGGTGGGGCTAAGAGATTCTTTCCCATGAAGTTCCACAGGGTTACACAAACACTGCTCTGTTTCTTGCAACCCAAGTAAGGTGTCTCAAAGAGTGTGAAGAGAGAATTTGTCTTTTCTGATTACTGTTTATTGGGGACACTGTGTTTCAAGTATTCTTTTTCCTCTTTCCAAAGATTGTTTTAAGTTTTTCAATGTCTGGCAGATTGAGAAACAAAGATAAAGGTGAGCTAGCAGAAGCTGTTCAGAGGTAAGAGAATTTGATTTTATGGTTTGGGGCAAATTATCTAAAATGGGGGGAAAGAGAATATATTTGATGTATTTTTTTGAGATTTTTACTATCTTTTTATTAAAAGTTTACAGCAAAACCCCCACAAATTTTATTCCCTGCTTGAGTTTCAAAAAAATGTAGATTCGTTAATAAAGATTTGATAATAAAGATGTTAAGAATGACCTGATTCCTTTGTCTCCAAAGTGAAAAACAGCAGGTTTTTTTTTTTTTGTAGCTGATTTTCAGATTAACATAGAATACAATTTTATTGATTATGATATGTGTGAAAGCAATTCAAGGAAGCATACTTTAAGGAAAGACATGGCTCGTAAACCTTCTCTGTTTTCTTTAAATTAAAAGTGCTTCATAGGATTTAAATAGCCTATGGTAAATAGGAGTTTTACCTTTAAATTCATGACATTGCTGTAAGTATAAAAATAATTATATACTTTGGAAATTTTCTTTTAAAATACACTTTTAATTGATATTAAAAGACATATTCTTTCTAAGGAGGCAGGATCCTGTGTCTCTGAATCACAGTATTGTAAATAAATGTTACCTCAATATAAATGAATGAATAGACTTGTCCTGCTAAAATATTTATGAAATGGTTTTCTAAGAATTTCAAGAAATTTGAAATATTAAATAATTTTTATGAAGAATTTTTCTTCTAAAAGAAACAAAGGTAGTGATATTATCAATAAATTTTACCTATCAACAATAATAGGAGTTAATGCAGAATTAGATTCTAGGGAATGACTGACTTAGATACTTGCAAACTATAATTTATAAGAGGGTTGAGTTTCAAAGCTCACTTCTAAGTTAATTGCATGGACTCAACAGCTGGTATAAATTGGTGAAACTCATAGTTATACTGAAGCATTATTAATGGCATTATTTCAAAAATACCACTCTAAAGTTTACATTGTTTCTCTTTCCACACTCCAAAGAGAGGGAGCTGACAGGATAGGTACTTGTGGATATCAGTAACTCCTTCCTTTTGTTAAGGAGTATTTCCACTTGGATACATTGTACTAATGGATAAAGAGGATCAAGAGTAACTTTATGGTTATCACCGTACATTGGGGAATAGGGCAGTAGTCTCACTGCAGGCCATGAACTTGGATTTCCCCACATCATAAATATGTAAAGCTATATAAAATGGACAATTTGGGTGTGGCTTGAAAAAAACAAAAATTATTAGTTTAATGAAAAGTTATTAGTCCATTTTAATTGGTAGTACAGTTAAAACAAGGCAATCGTGATGTCTAGTCAAAATTTCTAATGAGGGGCCTCCCGGTGGCGCAGCAGTTGAGCACAGCCTCTGCAGCCCTGGTTCGATTCCCGGACAGCCAGGGAGAACCCCACATGGCACAGCGGACCTCTCCTGCCTTACCCACTGCGCCCCTCAGCAGTGTATTCTGTCCATCTGCCTGTTCTGCTCCCTGCTCTGGCTCTGATGAAGTCTCTCACCCTCCCACACTTCTGACCTGTACCCCAGTTCTTGTATAAACAAACAAACAAATAAATAAATAAATCTTTTAAAAAAATTCTAATGAAATTAAAAATAAAATATTATAAAATCAATTAAATATTTTAAAAAACATTTAACACACTCAAGAGTAGTCAAGGAAGAAGACAATATGCGGTGGTAGCATTGGCAAACAAGTAAAAGTAGCTTCCAGAATCACCTTTAATTTTAAGGATATTTGTTGATTTTGATGGACCTCAGCATCTTTTATCACCATCTTAGGGCTTGAGGCTCTTCCTAGTGTAGGAAGTTCAATAGGATACCACTGATAACTTTGAACTCCAAAGGGATTCAAGGAAAATTGATTGTCTCAAACACTGGCGCAGGATTAAGAGTGGGGGAGTCTTCCAGGAAGATTCCAAGTCAAATCTCACATGGGTAATGTAAAATTTTTCAAGCTGAGAATGCAGCATGAAAGGCCCTGAACTACTAGTGTATGGCCACTGCCCCCCCAAGCTTATCTTTGGTTCAGATCTCACTAAATTCCCATACATAAAGCTGCCAGGATCAGGAAACATAGGAAGAAATCACCAAACATAGACAAAAACAAGGAACCATGAGTAAGAGCCAGCAGGAAAAAGACAGGTGGTCAAATCAGACCCATAAATGTTTCAGACATTATAATTATCAGAAATACAACTTTAAAAATGTATGTTGAATATTTTCAAGATATTAATAAGCTTAAAATATGAACTAAGAGAAAGCAGACTTAAAACAACCAAATAACTTTAGAATAAAAAATAATATAAAATAAAAATTAAATAAGCAACTTTAACAGATGCGATAAATTCAAAGAATGAGTTAATGAATATGAAGATATTTGCCAAATTATCCAGAATTTAGTCTAGGAAGATCAAGAAACAAAACTATGAAGGAGATTTAAAGAGACACAGAGTGTAAAATGAGATTATGTGTATAATCAGAGTCCCAGAAGAAAAGGGGAGAGGAAATAATGGAGTTTAGATTTTTCCAGAATTGATGAGTCACCAATACACAGTCAAGAAAACCACAGAAACCAAGGATGGATAAAAAAAAATATACCCACTATACCTAGAATACTTCATAGTGTAACCATGGAAACCAAAGACAAATGGAAAATCTTAAAAAGCTTTCAGAAAGGAAAGACAAATTACATTTTGAAAGTTTTTTTATATTAATTTTTAAAATTTTTTTACATCATTGTTTATTTTTAAACAATATTTGCTTCTCCTCATCCCCTCAGGAAAAAGAAAAATATCCGATGGTTTCACTTATAGCAGGAATATAGGGGAAGCAAATAAGACATCAGTGTAAAAAAATAATAACAGGACAAATTACATTTTAAGATTACTTTCAACATTTAAAGTGTAACTAGGGAAGCTATAAGACAGTGTTATTATATTTACAACATACAGAAATAATTATCAATTTACAATTCTTTACCGTGACAATATTTTTCAAGAATAAATACAACCCCACTCAGACAAAAAGTGAGAGAACATGTCAGTGCCTACAGCATGTTTTAGGCTAGGAAAGGAATCAGCGATGGGAGATCTAAGAGTAAAATAAGAAAGAGAACAAACTAAGTGGTGAACTTCTGGGTAAATCTAAACAAACGTGTAAAGAAAGCAATTTCATAATATTTTGAAGGGAAGTTTGACAATGTCTGTGTCATTTGGGAAAAGGCTGAAAAAACTCTGGATTTAATCAGAATTTGCCCATTATTATATCTAATATAAACACTAAATGAACAGAAACACAGCACATAACTTCCAAACTCTTATAGAATGGGGGATAAATGGAAGCATAAATATCATCAAATCAATCAAGCCTAAAGAAGGCAAAGGTGAAAAAAAAACCTTTGGACAAAAAATTAGAAGCACAGCATTAGCAGAAATAAATTAAAATGTATCAGCAATTATAAATATATGCAAATGGTCTAAATGCTTGCTCTAAAGCAAGAGATTATCAGACTAGACTAAAAATAAAAATTAATGTTTATTAGATAAATCAGAAATGAAATAATTTAGAAAGTTTTAACATAGAATGAAAGAAATGTACAAATATGAGGCAATACTAGTGAGAAGAAAGCTGTTTAGATGCTAAGGCAAAAGTGTTATTAGAGTTAAAAAAGTCACAACTTAACAACACATTTATCAGGCAGATATAACAAGTATAAACTGGTGTGCATGTTTTAATGCAGCCACATGTTATATAAAGAGAAATGAACAGAATTGTACATTGAGATAGAAAAATCTATCATCATATTAGATTCATTGATGTCTGTGGTCCTGAGAAATGTTTATGTCAATTGTCAAGTAAGAAGTATTAAGTATGATCTTGGGAACATCTAATACCAGTCTGAAGGCTTGTCCCTTGTAGACATTTTTCAATGATGTCAGAAGTTCTACTGAAATGATGGGCGTTTTTACAATTATACTACTGGTTTCATTAAACATATCAACAAGATAAGCATATACATAATTCCTTTTCCAGTAATTTTTCACAAATTATGCAAATTGTCTGTGTTTCTATCCCTTTTACCTCAGTAATATCAGAATAGATAACTCTATTATGGTCAGCTTAAAGGCTGGTTTAAAAAGTTTGCTCTGTGTTGTACATAAATAGTATTTCCCCTCCACTACTAAACATAAATTGGCAAAAAAAAAAAATTACTCTTACACAGGGGTATGACTGTCACTTAAAAAAAAAATTCCAACAAATAGATGGGGGAAACATTTCTATTGGTATTTCCTCACTAAAACTTAAAAACTTCTGAGTTCAGGTAGGGTTATTTTCTTGGGGGAAGAATTAATTATAACGAAAGGAGAAGTTTGAGAAATGGAATAACACTCAGAGCAGAAGTGGTTTTTGAGTTCACAGAATTTTTTTTTAGGACTTTGCTGTATGGTAACTTCTTAGGTAGAAAAAAAGTTTTATTTGGGAAAAAGTCATGTGGTGTTGTTTGCCTAATTGTGAAACTGAAATCCACAAAATAATTTCTCAAAAGATCACATACATATGTAGCACTTTTAAACTTGAATTTCACATTGTTCATGTGATAGACAAGTAACCATTCCCATTTTGCAAATGTAGGAAGCGAGAAACTGAACTATCTCAGCCCAAGTCAAGCTATGACAACACTTTGTGCTAAAATATAATAATTTTTGTTTCTCCATTTTGTCCTGTTCTGATTTTTGACTATTAGTTCTGTGGCTATGTAATAATATCACTTGGTATGTCAACCAAGTAACACCCATGTTTGGCAAGAAAGTCTAAGATCCATGTAATTCAGTTTATTTTTAGGTTCTTTGATTCTAAATTATTTGTTTAATTCCTAAAGACTCTTAGTTTAACTTTTATGTCTCATGCTTCACACTCTACCCATACCACATTTGGTTTCCGCTCATCATCTTACCTTTTGCATGAATAAAGTCTGAAGCAACCCCTATTTGATGAAAAACTCAGTGACCTTGGTGCAGGGGGGTACCATTGGTGGGGGAAGGCCTTCTCCAGAAGGGGAAGACAGTCGTTTGAATTGTCCTCATAAGACTTTTTGCACATCTCAGCTCAGTAGGTCCTAGAAATGAGGCAGCAGAACATGGAGAGAGGTAGAATAATCAGTATCAGGCAGACCTGCTCTGAGTCCCAGCTTTGCCATTATGCATTGTGTTAGCCTGGCCTGTTTCTTTATTTGGAAATAATGACGAAAGTTTGTATTACATAGAGTGATGTACTGAGACAATATTTATAACCTGCTGAACTACTTGCGTGCTCTGTAAATTTTAGCAATTTATATTAGTCGTTCTTAACCCTCAAACTCAGTAATGCCCTCTGAGCTCCCTCAACTGGCTGCCTTTTTACGAGGCCACTATGTGAATGTGTCCAAAAGTTAGTCTTTGCTTACTACCCCGCCGTCCGTGCACAGGAATGTGCAGGCAGTGCAGCCCTATCATTTTGCGACTTGACGGGGCTATTTAGCAGGTGCTCATGTCTGAACATTCCTGAATCAGGAGGTGGCAGCTCTGGATTTCAGAGCAGTAATCAGGCCACAGTGGAGTAAGCCAGGAACCTCAACTTGAGTTCTAAATTTGCAATCTGAAATTAAATGAAACGCCCTAAAACGACACAAGCTCTAGCAAAAAATACCATTAATTATCGGTGCAATTCCGAGTGCCTGTGGTATAAAAAAAACCCTGCAAGTGGAGGCACTTTTTTCCAGGTACTTGGCTTTAGGTGCCTGGTGGGGGGAATGCTGCAGCCCTGGAGCCGGGACAGGACGCAGAACGCTGTCGGCGCGTCCCCTGGCCAGCGCACAGGGGCACCTGGCGGCTCCGGTGGGGGGGGAGGGCAAAGCGGTCCGTGGGCCAAACCGTCCGGCACTTTCGCTCCCCCCCTCGACCCTGCGGCCACTCTGGGCCCGGGGACCCTCGCCCCGTCCGCCCTCAGGCGCTGCCCGCGGGCCGCGCGGCCCAGGTGAGGCCGCCGGGCGCGCCCCCGCGCGCCCCTTCCCCCTCCCGGCGACTTCCTGGTTTGCAGAAGGTGCCGGAGCCGCGGCGGGCGGCCGGGTCGCAGGAACTGAGAGCCCCAGCGCGGGCGCGGCGGGGCGGCGGCCGGCAGAGACGGGGGCGGCGGCCGGCTCGCGGAGGCTGCTGCTGCTGCTGCTGTCACAAAAAGGCGCTGGGGGTGGGGTGGAGGCGGGGAAGCGCCGGGGGCGCCGCCGACATGGGCCCGCCGCCGCCGCCGCCGCTGTGAGCAGCTCCCGGCCGGCCCGGCGGCCAGCGTGGGCGGGGGCGGCGCGACCCTCCACCGCGGGGCGGACGGACGGCCCCACCGCGACATGTAACCATGGACTGCCGCACCAAGTGAGTGGGGTCGGTCGGGGCGGCCGGCGGCGGGCGAACCGCGGCGGCTCCTCCGCGGCCCTCACCGCGGGCCGGCTCCGAGCTCCCGCGCCGGGCCGACGCCCCCGGGCGACCGACGTGGGCCCGGCGGGCTGAGGAGGGGGGCGGCCCGGCCCCCCTCGGCCCCTGCCCGTTCGGCTGGCGGCTCGGCGCTAGGCCGCAAAGCCTGCGGGCCCCGGCCCGGCGGGGCGGCCGGGGCGCCGCGTCGACGCCCGCACCTCGAGGGTGGGAGGGGAGGAGGCCGCGCGGCCGCGACACCCCCCCGCTGTGGGTTTGTCCCTCTCTCCGGAGTGTGTCAGACGTGACTGGCGGCTGTCTGTGTCTCGGCGGGTCCGCGAGGGAGTCGGCGGGGTGGGCTAGCGGTTATTTAAAGTGTTCTCCAGGCATGGAGACGACCCTGTCATTCTTCAGTCTATTTATCGGGTGGTCTCAAATTGGCTACTCATTTTTCGGCTCGAATTCAATTCGGCTCCCCCGCCCCCCACCCCCAAGCGTGTTGGTGTTGATGGAGGCACCGGGTATTCACGGGGCTTGTAAAGTGGCCTTTAATCAGGTCGTATTGTAGGTCTCTGCTAAAGTCGACAGCAGTGAATATTTTTCTTTTGGAGATTTATCAGCTAGAGCCTCGGAATAAGTGTGGTGGTTTTGTTTCGACTATCTTAAGAGGCACGAGCCTTATATTTTTTTCTCCTGAAACTAACTTTGGAAAGAATGCCTTACTTCTTCCCTGACCCCTTCTTCTCCCCTCCCCCCTCCCCCCTCCCAGAGTTTAAAAGAATATGTGGATTTGAATACAGTGTGAAAGGCCTATTTAAATTTCACAGTATAACTGAATATTTTTATGCCAGAATCTAGAGAATAGTAAGACAATTATGTGATTTAGAATTATTTAGCATTTGACATCATGAAGAGGCCAGGTAAGTGATTTAAAAGAGATGCTTTTTGACAGTAATTGGATTATGAGAGAGGAGGTCACCTGAGTCCAGATTATTCCCCTCAAAACACTTTAGTAGTGGGAGGCCTGAAGAAATGTATATGAATAAATTATGTGGCTTGTCACTTCCTTTGTTTCTAGATTCTTGTCTTGTAGTACTTTTTTGTTTTTTAAATCACTATTTAGAAGCCAAAGTTTTCTTGAAGGGAGTTCATATTAAACACAGTGTACAGACACTGAGGTCTCCTCTTGGTAGGAATAACTGAAATATATTCGCATTTTGGTCACGTGGACATTGTGGTATCAAACTTCCCTTAATCTTTCATCTTGTGGAGGAAAGAGGTGAAGACAACTGTTCTGAAAAAAAAAAAAAGTCTCAATAGATTTCAGTTTGCTTTTTGAAATTAAACCAATGAATAGGTTGAATGTAGAGAAGTTAGTAAAAAAAAGTTGAAAACTTCTGAATGATGCAAAACGACCTTATTGTTCCTGGAAAAGAAAATCTGTTATTGACGCACATGTCCAATTTCTCCAAAGATCACTGACATAAAATACAGCTTTTTTTTTTCAGTTTGTTTCATTAATGAAGTCTGTGTATATATTTTGCTACTTTAAACAAATTAAGTGCAGTGATTACATCTTTTAAAAAGTATTCGCAAATTGTAACATTTAAAGAACACTGTAAATGTTTTTTGGTGACCTAGAACTTGGCAGGTGGAATCAGGTATTCATCATTTACATTGCCTAGGAACATAGTGGTTTTCCAATTCTGATTTGATAAGATGCAGGCAGTGTTTCACATTTCTGTAACACTTTGTACTTTATAAAGCAATTCTACATAATATCATTTGATTTATAATCCTCACATTCTGTGAAATGAACAAAGCATTTTACAGGTGTACAGATAGACCTAAGGTTGAATGTTTTTCCCCAAATCTCAGAACTCCCAAGCCTTAGTTCTCTTAAATTCTGGAACTGGGAAAAACATTTTGTTATTTCTGCTACATAGAGGTCATATAGTTACATAGACCTTGTTGAAAAAAGAATAAGATGTGTTTTTTAGAGGAAGAGAACACAAGTTTTATAGAGATGCTTGTTTACTTTTCTTAAGGAATAAATACAGCAAAGTTCTTTTTCTTTTAGGGAAAATCCAGAACGAACGTTTGACTTGGTAGTGAGAGTAAAATGTCATGCCTCTGAAAATGAAGGTATGTGTGTTTCTTTAATTGTAAAATATTTGATTGAGACTGTCAGAATAACTGGTAATATTGTGGACTGCAGGGACCTTGATAGTATCAGGACACTAAATGTTCTGAATGTGTATTCTGCACCTACTTTCTCAAGTTGCTGGTAATAAAATAGATGTAGAGATTGTAGGAATCACAAATGTTATCTGGGCTCCTTAAATTTAGGGTATATATTAATGTCATATAATTACAACTCAGCTTTACCATTTATTGACAACGTTATTGTTAGTTTTGGTGGAAGGGCGTGCCTTTTCATTTTCTTGTCTTTAAAAGTTTAGCTCCTTTATTCAACATTTGTAAAAATTCTACCAGTACAGGTGGAAGCTACACCAATTCCCTTCTAATGTTTCTGGAATGTAGGAAGCAGACTGAGTAGCCCCTTCTGTTGGATTTGCTTTAGTAGCATAACACTTTCAGAGGGAGATAAAATAGGGTGACACTAGTTGAAAGGCTTTCAGCTATCAGTTCTGTATACTTCCTGAAAACATGGAAATACTTTAGTATTGCAATTTTTATCAGTTCTCTCCACTTTTGTCAAGAGTGAGTTTGTGGGTGGGGGAGGAGTGTGGGAAAGAATGCAGGGTATCTTTTCTTGTGTGTATCCTTTTTAATATGTCCTTGTGTGATATGTTTTCGTGGACATCGCCAGTGTAGATTTCACTTGTTGTGTACTTAGACCCCAGATAGCATGATGATTAAGTGTGGCATTTGGTGGCATCTAGCTCGCTATTCTAAAACCTCAGTGGAAAGTCTGTTGACACTCTTAGCTCCAGAAACTGGTCAGCAATTATATGCTATTAAGCAATTTGGACCTGCACACCTTAAAATAGAGGAGCCCAACCCTGCTGTGGTGCAATGGGCATGGCTAATTTTAGGTAGGAAGTCACACATATTCCTGGCTTCTGTGGGTCAAGTTTGTCCCGGGCAAGGGTGATTCCAAGCTCTAAGGAGATTTTCCTGATTTAAAAGGTTATCTTTTCTTATACTATGTGCATTAAAGTTTGTCCATTTACATTCTTTCCAAGCCCAACGGAGATTCAAATGGTTACATTATTTGTTTTCAACTTTCTATAGCTTATGGTATGAATACCTACCATAACATTAGCTGAGGTACACAAAGTGTGCTCACCTGATGAATTTGTAAAACAAGCTAACTTCATTTGGAAAGCATGATTCTTTATAACTTTAAATTTCTGCTAAAATTATTTTGATAAAGAAATTCATCTGCCTGTATAAAACCCAATCTGTGAATGTGTCAGATTGTGATTCTCCTAGAGAGACTTTTGATTTACTTCTCCCGCCTTCTCTCTCTCCCTCCCTCCTTCCCCCTTCTCCATTTTTCAGGAACTAGTTATTTCAGTGTATATCTTTTTTGTCCTCCTTTTATTATCTTCTTACATTTTTGTTGCTGTTATTGCTTAAATCACTACTTATTAGAAACATCTTCATTTGATATTAACAACTTATCCAGTATGGCGAGGTTGTATATGTAATAAATAAAACATTTACGAAAGATATAGGTCAAAACAAAATCTGACCTCGCTATAGGTTGCAGATCATTCTACTCATACATTCCATTATGCATTCCATAATGAGTAACTGGCAGCAAATTCTAAAGATTTTTAAAATGCTAAACTTATACATATGAAAAGCACTAACAACTTTTCTCTTTTGATTGTGACTTAAATAATATGAGTATTACTAATATTGGGGTCTGACAAGTTGTTCTGTTTTATTTTCTAAAAAGTAATGCTACTAGATAGATAACTAAAGTTTTATGTCAAATTGAGAGTGATATATCTTAATATTTTATTAATTTTCTATTTTACTGATTAATATATTAATAGCAGACATGGGCATCAGCTTGTTTAAAATTGGATAAATTATTTATCTAACATTCAAATGAACATGGATACCTTTCATAGAATTAATACACGTGGAAAAAATGTAAACTAGTATGCTTTAGAGAATAAATAACAAAACTTTTAAAACAAAACTGGTTAAAGTTGGGGAAACTCGATAGTTCACTTAAGAGGAAGTCCAGGAGTAGGTCATCAAAAATCTTGATTCTTTCTGCATTTCATCTCTGCCCCCCCCCCCCCCCCCCCCCAGTAAAGCCATCATTGGAAGGCTCAGAGTCCTGTGGTCATAGGATAGTTGTCAGAGAAATTCAAACTCTGCTTTCTTTGTTTATTACTAAAGGCTGGCAGACACTGTTCTTTTTAGGACTCTTTAGAGCCAGAAAGTTTCTTTCACAGAATCCTCTAGAACACTGGGTCTTAATGATTAAGTTTATCCTGGGCTTGAGCATTCCTGAAGTCATTGGTGGAGCAGAGGCAGAGGAATGAGTGGTTACATTATCATAATTGACTTTCTAAACAACTGGCAAGGAATGGATGTGGGAAATTAACTAAAATGCTTTTTGCATTTTTCAGAATATAGGCTAATTTTCTTGAGCAATTTGGTTATCTCTCATAATACTGGTTTTTGATAATGATGTTTAATCCACAGAAAATATAATGCTTAGGGTGAACTTGATTGACAATATTACACCAAGCTATTTGGCATGTTCCTTTTGTTTATATTAGAGGAGTTTTAAATTCTTTTATTTACCTGAATTACTTATCCCATAAATCTCTTCAGAGACAAATCATTAACTAAGTTTTATTGATTTGGATTGGCGTTAGTTGTTGAAATGTAACTTGATTTAGCTAGCTGTGATAAGGTGATGATCTTATCTGATGTGTTGTTGTTCGTACTTTTTTCAAGGCATTACAAGGCATTTTTAAAAAGAATACATTTTAGAATAGCAGGGAATAGTTTCATACAGAGAGTCCTACAAATAGAAAAATTACCATGAGCAGGGTTTATAGACTTTCCTATATTGTCTTTATTGTGTTAGTAAAATTGGTTCTGGTGGTGTCTGACTGGTTGATTGGGGCATCTTTTCATTGATGGGTATGGCAAATTCTCCAGTTACTTATGTTCTATCTAACTCTCTGAGTGAAGTGCTGAAATTTCGATCTTACTGCTCATCCTGGTCAACTGTTTCCCAGCAGTCAGGGAAGTACAGCCAGCAGTGATGGTCTCTCCTCAACTTCTAACAACAGAAGTTATTGTTTCCACTCTGTTTCCACCATCCTCAAAGTGATTCAGGACTTCAGGGAAATGTAAAGTAATCCTTCCTCAGTAAAAGATTGGCAATGCCTCCTCTTCATTTTGCTTCCAGGCAATGGCCTTGTTTCTCTAGCTTTCTCTTTTATAATTTGTTGACCGCCAACCCCCAGCTGAAGTAGTAATAATAAGTCATAGTAGCACTAGCAGTAGTAGCAGCCTCAGCAACAGCTAATAATTATGCAACACTTTATCTGTGCCAGGCACACTTCTGGGCAGTTTACATGTACTGAATATTTAAGCCACACAAAAATCCTATGAAACAGGAAATGTTTCTCTCCATTTACGCATGAAGAAACAGAATCTCAGAGAAGTGAAATAACTTTCTCAAAGTAGTCGGTTCCAGAATCTGAATTTTAATTTATTACTTTTTAAAAAATTTAGTCTTTTTTTTTTTAAAAGCTGCTCTGTTGCCTTTCATTGTATACTAACCTTTCATTAGCTGCTTATTATCATATGAGGAAATACTAGATTATAAGCTATGTTTGGTACAAGTATTTAAAATTTATTTTTAAATACTATTATAACAAATGCTAAACACTATGTGTTAGCAATCATGGTAAGTGCTAGTGAATTAAGCCAGATGAGGACCTGTCCTCATGGTACTTCTCTCTGGGACCTGTCCTCATGGTGCTTCTCTTTGGGATGAGAGAAGATCTAACTCCATAAATTATTGTGTAATTACAAATCTGATTATGTGCAATGATGGGAAATATACAAAACTACACAAATGTGAATAACTGGTTTGACTCAAATTTGAGACATCTTTAAAACTGCCAACGGAGATGTCAAGTAACTGTTGTTTCGATGTGTTCAAAATTCAGGGGAAACATGAATTTGACTGTCACCCAGCCATAAACGGCAGTGGAAACCTTATGTACTATGAGATGACTAAGTACAAATTTATGAGAGCACATGGCTTATGGTACCAACTCCCAAAACATCAGGAATGCTGCTATTTCGTGCCAGGTGTAGGAGGATTAGGCTAAAACTGATTCTGGAGATAGGGAGGACAGAGAGGCAGGAGTAAAACCCAAGGTTGTGATTTCATGATACCCTAGGAAGATAGGAGACTCACAGTGAGAAATCAAGTAAGGAGAAGATTTAAATAATCCTCTGGATTCAGCACTGTGACCCTTAGTGAGCTTATTGAGAATGAAAAAGTAATGGGAGGCTTATGGAAGTTAGTTGCAGAGACACTGTCTGGTCAGCACAGACAACCACTTGAGAAGATGGTTGTGAAGAGGAGAAACAAGTGGTCACTTGTAGCTTTGGGTCAAAGAGAAAGTTAGCTTGTTTGTCTTGTCTCAAAGTATTTCTATGCCAGTTGGAAAGAGTAGCGTTTAGGGTGTTACTGAAGCCGGCCAGTTATTCCTATATTAAGCAGGAATACAGTGCCTTCCCCAAAATCTATTTGTTAGTTCTAGTTTCATATAAAATAGTGTTTATTTTTCCTTGTGATCATTTATGCTACCTCAGGAGACCTCTTTCCTCACCACTGCTGCCTCTCTCTCTTCCTCGTTTTTATGATTATAGCTCTGTATTTAGTGAATCTTTGGTCTAATAGCTTTAGCTATTTATTAGTAGCTTCAAAACATCTTTAGCAAATCTTATTTTCTTTCTTTCTCTTTACCTAGGGTAATTTCTCTTTGGAACATTCTCTCTTTGCCATTGACTTTCCACTTTCTTCAGTTTTTTCCACATGATATCAAAATATCCATCTACCTGATCTCTAGTTTATGTTAACAGTTTAATTGCCTCTTAGTCTCTTCTTATATTAGAACCTT